GAATCCAATTCACAACAGCTGAAAACCAACACCTGGTCTCCGAGGACACTTCTGTCACCTTCAAGCCTGTCGTTTTGAAAGCTTGTGTCAACAATCAATAGATTTAGGTTATTATGTTTTCCTTTCCCACTTTCACATCCTGCCTCACATTCTTTCCCCTGCCCCCTTCACGTCTTTGTGAATGAGGCTGATGGATGAGAAGGAGTGATATGTCTTCTCTGTGCTGTGACTGGCCATGCCAATATCCCCAGGTTAATGTGAGATTGGGGGGGGGATGTAAGAGAGAAAGAGATTTGGGAGACAGGACCAGGGTCAGCACCCAGCACACCTTAATATTTAATCAGACCATTCCCAGCAACTCTAAACCCTACAGAGAGTGGGGTGAGGAAAAAGAGTCAGGATAAATAGAACATGCAAGGACATCCATCTAAAAAAAAATCACCTTTATTTAGTTGCAAACAGGGTCCAAAATAAACTTTTCTGCCAATGGCGTAGGAATAGACAATGTTCACAGGCCATGAAACTGTTTTTTCCTTTTTTCAAAATGGAAAAAAAAAATGCAAATGCTGTCGACTGATTAAAACTGTAATCAACACAACTGAATTATGCGGAGTAATTCATCCAATCAATCACAACTAACTGCATATAGTAATATTTTCTAACCCTCACCATCCAAATAAAACTAGTTTAAAAGCATTGCATTAAGTTTAGCATAAAAGTAAATTGTGGAATAATTATTACAGAAAGAGAGTTTATAATTAATATATATTTATCTTACAGTTTTTTTTCGATTGCTTAAACATTATATCCAGGCTTTCGAACAAAAATTTCATTGTTATTTCATAATGCCATTTATCAAAAAGCACACCCATTTCACTATGAACACTATTTCCCTGTTTTGACACATTAGTCAGATTTGTTGAACTGTCGCAGCAAAACTCTACACACAAATCCCTGCATTTCTCATTGCCTACACCATGTGGTCCTTAGAAAGCACTAGCATTCAATATTGTTCACTCAAGTCAGCACAGCTTCAGCTCAGTTAGCACACAATCACCCAGGTGAAAACACCAAGAGTCAAAATTGAACACAGAAATCAGATCCTTCAATAGATAGATAAAATGTTATAAAATCTTTTATAAAATATATAAAAAAAATCAGTTTACTGAGTTTTGGAACAATGGATCCACAAAGAAATTAAGCAAGGAGGGAGAGGAGGAGGAGGAAGGGTAATGGAAAGAAGACAAGCCGTCTCGGATGAAATTCAAGCCACTTTAGTTGACCATGTCCTTGGCCATGTATAACTATGAGGGAGGCTGTGCAACGAGTACAGACAAATTTGAGTCGCTTCACTGTCACCTCCATCATCATATTTCATCTTCATCATATGTTATATTTCTAGGCCAATGATGGTATTTCAACCATATGTGGAACATTCTTAGACTTGTTCATCATATTGTATCCTTGAGTGGAGGCCCTCCAGTCATGTACCAACACTCTTTACCTTTCTAATACAATTCCATATTTGAATAAGGTTTGTGTTTGTTCTTTTACTGTCATAAGATTGCGCCTCGCGCCACTCTCCCACGGCCTCGCCCTGCTCGCCACAAAAGTTTTTTGTTTTTGTGTGTGTAGTACATGAATGAATAAAAATGTGCCAATATATACATTGATTGTGTCTTATGTTCATCCTGTGAAAAGGTTTGTGAATAGGAGGAGGAGGAGGATGGGGGGGCTGGTGGAGCATATATAACAAGCAACATAACTTCAGTTTTGAAAATGTTGTTTTGAATTTATTTCACTAGTGTCAAAGACTGTGTTGTAGTGTGTATATTTTTGAAGGCTTGTGTGTCCTGTCTGAGGGCAAAGTTTGGTTTTCAGCCAGAGTGGATGGTTTTGGGTGTAGAGCTTTATTTTGACCTGAAAATAGGATGTTTGGGGAATTGGATGAGACGTTATGGATTTGTGTTTAAGAAATGTGTTTAAGCAATTACATGTACAAATGGCAATTCCTGACCTCATGTGGTTTTACTAGTGGAACATGGTAGCAAAAGATAGAATGAGACACTGAGAGAGGGACTCACTTAGATTGAGTGGATAGAGAGAAAAACAGAGAGAAAGAGACAGATAGGAGAGGACGGAACAAAGCGCGAGAAAATTAAAATGCCGTTCATCAATTCGATTGAAGTCTCGTTTAGTTTTCTCAGAGAGGGAGAGAAGAACTGCGGCACTAGAAAAATCTCACCTTATGTAACACATGCAGCAGATATCGCCATTTAAAACAGTGCATATTCAATGCATTTACTAAGTCAAATATTCATAAAAGAAAAGTTTAAAAACTCTAGGTATTTATATCTTGCTAAAACTGCACTATAGTTGTTGTAGCAGTAAAACTGGCGCACGTTTGTGATAGTTGACTTTGGCTTCTCGTGTGATCTGCGGCAGATGGTACAAGTACAGTGGTTTTAGGGTGAAGGTGAGGACAGGACAGGACAGGAGAGCAGATGACCCTCTCAGGGGACCTCCAGACCCCGCTTTAGCCAGTAAGAGTTCACAGTCCTGTCATGCTGTCCACACATCAGGGTTTACAGCACAGCAGGGAGGGACAGAGAGACAGAAAAAAACTGCTGTGCTTGCAGACTAGATGGAGTGGTGAAAATTTAACTAGCCAGATGAAAGCATAACTTTGCATATCATGTTTTTTTTATAAACACAGATTGATAAAGGAGAAGAGGTAAGAGATGAGCAAGCAGTAAGAACTGAGAAAGACTGTGAAAGGAAAAGGAAAGGAGAGAACAACACTACTGCATGATATAAGCAGACTTAAGTATCCTTCAGTTTTGACGTGAATGCTTAGCATATGCATACAACCAAATGCATAGCCTTTCAAAGTATACTACATTGATACTTTGCGTGTGCAAACACGGGCGTTTGACACATACACATTGCACACTAGAAAGTTTTGTCCAGTTCCTGCCAGAAGTTACGACGGATAAAAATTATACTTGCTTCAACTTGAGCTTAGTGAATCTCTTACACAAGTCTATTGTTGTTGCCATTTCCGGTAGTTTGTTGTTGTCCCTTTTCATTATTTTATTCAATTCTTTTGGCAAAGGCCCAAATCAGTTTTGCCACCTTGTGGACCAACAAATTAGTGCAAAAATTCAAGGTGCATGTCCAAGATGAGCATACAGAAATTTTTGGAAAAATCGGGCTTTGCGCATACAGTACACTTTAAACCCGATTAAGTTGGAAAAATGGGAGAAAAACAAATTAAATTGTGGTTATCCTTAATATAAAAAAAAAAAAATTAGTTTAGACATTTTAAGTTTAAGTAAGCAGAACTGGCAGTTTTTTTATTTTGAATTCAGATATATTAATTGCTCTTAACTTTAAATATTTGAGTAAGCTAATTCACACATTTCAACTTCACATTATCATGTAATCTCAATTTATATATTTTTAGTGGCTTGCTTTAACTCGCTAATTTGATAAATGCTATAACTTGCTAATTGGTGTAACAATGCTTTGATCGCATTAACATAATATAGCAATAAGTACAAAAACATAACATGTGTCTTTTCTCAAACCAAGCTCGTGCTTCACTCGTCACCATCACACCTATAAACCCAGCATAACTCAGAAACTCTTCTAAATTAGCATAGCAAAACATTAAACGCTACTAAATCTCCCACTTAAACATTAATCTTGCACAAAAAAACATTCAGTTCAACTTAAGTTAATAAAACTCAAAACAATGAAGCAATTCAGATTTCTTCAAATGTGTCAGTTTTGTGGACTCAAAAGAAAGTTCTAAATACTCAAAAAAGTTAATTTGATTGAACTAATTTGTTTCATTTAAGTTTACCCTACTTAAACTAATTAATTATTTTGAGCATTAGGGTTTACAGAGACCGTAATCATCTCAAACTACAAAATATTGTACTCTAAGGCCGTGTGTCCACCAAAGCGGTTTTAGCCAGCTGAAAACGCTAGACGCTCTGCTGAAGACGCCATGCTTTGGGTGCTTGAGAGCATTTTGGCAGCACAGCGTTTTTTTCCGTTGAGACGTTTTGTTGCTATGATACAGAATATCCGCAGCAGTTTGAATGTTGACAGTTGGTCGGTGTGGTATTAGTCCCGCCCCTCCTCCACTGTGATTGGACGGCTGGGTAAAAAGTGACAGTGATGAGCGCTGCGTTTTATCCAAAGTTGAACAGTTTTCAACTCCCAGCGACCAGTAAAAACGCCGGGCGCTCGGCCCTTCAGCGTGAAAAAAAAAAACCGCTCAGCGCCTCGGTACGCTCATGGCGTTTAAAAAACGTGGCACTCCCATTGAAAACAATTGAAAACATACGCCAGGCGCATGGAAAAACGCTTTGGTAGACACACGGCCTAATGTTACAGAATGCATAAGCATCACTCTTAACATAAACCCACAAGCTTGGCACTGGTTACTGCACAAAGTGTCTCCTTTTGTTTTCCACTGAAGAAGGAAAACAGGTCTAAAATGACACGAAGATGAGACAATTATGACAACATAGTAATTTTTGAGTTAACTATCCCTTTAAGCAGCACAAACCTTCAGTTGAAAAACTATTTGGTGAGTTGAAGGCTTAAAATATTCATTAACACGTTCACTTGTCATTTCATGGCTCGATTAAAGCCAAGACTTGTTGAAGTCTCACTATGAATTACTTTGTTAAAGCATGCAGATAGAGACATCTGTAAATGTCCTATTGCCTCTTGTCATGTTCGGTCTAGGACTATATGAGTGTTTGAGTTAGGAACAAGTGTTTGGTGAGGCTCTTTGCCTCTGATTGCTCTTCCACAGGCCTTTTAAAGGGTGTGGGAGCTGTTTACTCTGCTGGCAAAGTGTTGATTGGCTGTGCTCAATGTGCTCAGAGAAACGACAGCTTTCTTCATTCGTCTCATTCCCTCTCTCTGCTCTTTACACGGATTCATTCAACAAGTAACAGAACATCTTAAACTCACCCCACCTTCTTCTCCGTCTCTCCATCTGTAGGGGCCGTGCGAGCGTCTAGTATCTTCCCCATCCTCAGCGTCATCCTGCTCTTCATGGGTGGCCTGTGTATAGCTGCCAGCGAGTTCTACAAGTCCCGCCACAATATCATCCTCAGTGCAGGAATCCTCTTTGTGTCTGCAGGTGAGACTGTGGAATGAATGAAGGAAGAGTATTTTATAAACATTTACTTAAGCCTGAACATTCACTGATGGGTCATTCTGTTTGAAATCAAACAAATTTTGGAAACGTCCCCTAGCTCAAATATTTCATTTTGTTAATATTCTTTCTTTAGAAAGACAAACCTAAATAGTGATGAAGGCCAAAATATAAAATTTATTGAGTAATCCACTATTTGTAAAATTGTAAAAGAGTCATTATTTTACTGGTAGGTCTATTAGTAAAATATGTTGACTTTAGCAATTTTGTTTCATTATACGCCAACGGTGACAGTTCAAAAATGACCAAAAACACTTCTTGTGTTTTTTGCCTCAAGTTTGCATTTATGTAACTCAATAAGTATTAAAAATATCTTAATATCCTTTTAGATTCTTGTTCTTAACAAACTTTTCTTTTGGTATTTTCATTTTAAGGACCTTGATGATTCAATCCCAGAGATATGGACATGTTAATGTGGTTCCATTAGTAAATTATACAAATTTTCAGTGGTCAAAAACTAAATGTGGGTCACTTTGTATACAGCCGAGACTTTTTTCTTTTGAAGATGTATATCTGAAGAAAAAATAATGTTTAAACTAGAAATGTGTCTTGTGTCCCTCTATCAAAAGAACTGCATAAAGCATAACTCACAGAAGCAATCCACAGAAAATGGTTAAGTTGAGGCACATTAACTTGCTCTCAATCATCTATCTATATTCAGTGTTAGGGATATTTGCAAGATGGGATTTTGTTCATTTTAACAGCTTCCAAAGCTACCAAGAGTACAAACATGCCATTTCATAACTATATGTTACTGCATTGACATACCTATATCAATTAGATTAAACAATCAAAGACCTTAAAAATTGACTCCAAAAGAAAATGTTCATAAGAACAAGAATCTAAAATGTAAAATTTGCACTCTCAGAGAGGTGTGTAATTGTCTTGATAGAGGAAAACAAGATGCATTTCTAGTTTCTGTGGTATTTGTTCTTCAGACATTCTTCTTTAAATAGTATCAGCTGTTTAAAACATTACCTACATTTGATTCTTGACCATTTAAAATGGGTAAAATTTCACAATTTGAACATGGACCTGCTTTTAGATCCCCATATCTATGGGACTGAACTATATAGGGCATTGAAAATGAAGGTTCCAAAATCAGCTGATATAAAAATAAAGATATCTTGAATGTTTTTAGAATTACAGGCATGACAGCTTTAGAAAAATAACATTTATGACACTCAGATAGGCTAGGTATATATTATGCAATTGATCTGAAAAATTAGATATATTTCTAGTTTTAACATTATTTTTTGTTCCGATATTCCTCTTTAAAAGAAAAGAACAATCAGCTCTATACAATGTGATCCACATTTGGTTTTTGACCACTGAAAATGTCCATATCTCTGGGATTGAACAACCGAGGGCATTTAAAATGAAGAGACCAAAAGAAAAAATTGTTAAGAACCAGAATGTAAAAGGATATTAACATATCTTTAATACTTTTTGAGTTTCAGGCATGGAAACTTGAACAAACTTGAGAAAAGAAGTGTTCTTGGCCATTTTTGAACTGTCACCGTTGGCGTATAATGAAACAAAGATTGCTAAAGTCAACAGATTTTACTAATAGACCTACCAATCTCTGTGTAAAAATCAAATGCATATAATAATGCATGCAAATGCATTTGACACATGAATGACCCTGATAGTCATCACACACACACACACACACTATAGAAATACATTACTCATCATAATCACACATTCTACAACTCATACAATGCCTGCATTCCTCAGATATACCCTTATTTCTCCCAACACAGGTTTTCAGTTGTGTAATGCATTACCCCCAATCAGGGCTCAACAGTAAGGATTTCTTTTCCTGCTAGCCGACTCATGCCAGAAAATTTCTACGTGCCCACCAATTAATCAATTTTGTGAATATTTACATTTTTTATGTATCTTTTTATATGTACACTTAAAGATATTGGTAAGATATTGGATTGGTAAGACTTTATGTTTTTGAAAGAAGTCTGCATTTATTTGATCAAAAATACATAAACATTTTTTTACTGTATTTACTGAAATATAACTACAATTAAAATGACATTTTCTATTAGAATATTATATGTAAAATATACAACATGTATTTTAAATGTAAAAAAACAGCATTTATTTGAAATAGAAATCTTTTGTAACATTATTTTGATCAATCACCTTTGATCAATTTAATGCATCATTGTTAAATAAAAGTATTAATATCTTTAAAAAACATTTTAACGGTAGTCTATATTATGAAATTATTTTTAAAAGTTATTTATTATCGATTTTTCACACATTTATTCCTCAAATGTGCAGTTTTTTTCTTTACAAATACATTTTGTAATAAACAGTAACACAGAAACTCCATAATGAGTTTATAAACACTTTTGTCAGAAAATAAAAGGCATACATTAGGGCTGGGCGGTATGATATTGTGGCAATGGTTTAAAATGTCTATCATTATAGATGTTGATCTTATATATCGCGGATTGTAAATTTAAATGTGTCACACAGATCTATTGACACTTCATGAAATGCACGAATGAGACAATAGAACGGGACATGATTGATGTTAATAAAAAGTTGTTGTTTTTTATGAGTTGTAAAGCGCAATACGTGGCACAAAAGCTGCGGAAAGCTGCGTCTTTCAGAAGGCGATCATGAATTTGGGACATAATGTTAAAAAAAAAAAAAAAATCTTGAATGGTCGAATATACACACAATTATGTCAAAATGACCATCATTTACAATTGCATTTCTAACTACATACATGTTAAATAAACCTATTGTATCTGGAAAAAATAGCTTAATTGAATTTTTTTATATTCAATGTAATTCGCAATTTTGTAATTTATGAAAAAAATAAAATAATATAATATAACAAAAAAACTATAAGGTTATATATTATTATTATTGTGAAATAAAATAATGTATATAAAATAATATGAATTAAGATTTATCATATCGCCCAACCACTAGCATCCATTAACAGTACAAATTCTAGTAGTTTGTCATTTGCAACCCCTTCTTACACATGCTACCACAAATCGCTTTCAGCCTCATCTTAGCTAGTTTATTTACAGTAGCTGACAAGTTGACAAGCAGAATTTACAACTAAATGTAAAAAAAAAAACTTTAACCTTGTCCCCCTCCCCCCCTTTTACTTGATACAGTTTAGCAGTGCAATTCAGTAAAGCAAAGATTTTCTGAAACCAAACCTTTGACCTTAATGCCCAGATCAGCACGGTATCACTTAGAAACAGTCTTGCACTGGACTTTTTTAACAAGCTGCCTCGGTGATATACAGTAGCTAGTTAGCAAGTCGATTTCTTTTTTTTTTCTTGTCTCACTTTGGTCCTGATTCTGTAGCTAGGCTTAGAAAGGCCATTTGGGATTAAACTCTAAAAATATGGTGTCCCTGACACACTTTCCCAGTGATCCATCATGGTGGTTTCACTCCGTCACAGACAACTCCACCAGAGTGTGACTGAAGTCAGCAGTGAGCCACAGATCATGTTCCTGTGAGGTCACCCACTCTAGTCTCCGTTATAAGTTCAATTCTTCACTCTGATCTTCTCATTTACTTGCTCCTTCTGACAAATTAAAGCACTCAGAGTTTAGTTTATGGCTAAGGGTTTAAGGATATTGTAAAACTGCTTGTGTTAACCTTACCATTTAGAGGGCAGTCACAGTTTATTTTGTGAGGCATAGAGATGACAGGATGATTCTGTCATCCTCAGCCACATCCAGGGTCTAAAATTATATTGAAATTACATATTTTTTCTTGTGATAATGGGCTAATTTCAGTCATTTCATTTCATTTGCACCTTTGTGGAACACAGTGCAGATCATAGAAATGATGAAAGATCAACTTCTGATGATAACTGTACCACTGAGGTTTAAGTTGTTTAAAGAAAGCACCGCATGTCAGGTTTTCTTTAAATGTCAGTTTGTTACGTCGTTGTATGACTTATAATATTGCACTTCTTATATTTCAGATCTATTCAAAAGCACAAACATTCCTACAGACAATAACTTGAATAAACCTCTTAAGAAACATATTTAAAATTTAAAATGTTCACTATTTCAGATTTAAAGTCAGAAGGGTATAGGTGTTGTACCCATAGACTGGTTGTACCTCAATTCATACCAGAATGGAAAGTAGTGGGATTTCACATTTGAATCCATGTAATCAAGAACACAGCCTCCTAGCATTAGCATTAATAAGCGTTGTTTATTTTGTCATGCTGGGCTGGAGCAAAAACAAATTCTAACTGTTGAATGAAAGTCAAACTTACCAACTTTTAAAGATGGCTCCTCTGAAGACTGATGTCACTTCCTCATGCTCAGATCATTTAAAGGGACAAGTCACTGTTTTTTGAGGTAAATAATTGGTTCAGCATCAGAACTCACTGGCACAGGCAAATGAATGATCCTGTTTTAATCCAAAACATTTTTTTTAATACGACTGATCTCCTTTAAAGGGGGAACTATATTTAATTATAAAGTTATGCAGGTTATATATATATATTTTTTTTTTTAAATAATTATTCTATGACTGGCAATGTGCACAAGGTAAATGCCTGTCCTTAATTTGCAAAACTAGTAATATCAAATGTTTGTGTTTAGTACATGTCTTCAAACACAAATAGCTCTCATTTTGTGGAATGATTCTTCTTCTTTTCATCATATCTCTTACCCATGTTATTGATGTGTAGATCACTGCACAGCACCCTATTAGAGGAGTAGTTCACTTTTAAAAAAACTTTTACTGATAATTGATTTACCCCCATGTCATCGAAGATGTCCATGTCTTTCTTTCTTCAGTCAAAAAGAAATTAAGGTTTTTAATGAAAACATTCCAGGATTTTTCTCCATGTAATGCACTTTACTGGGCACCAAACGGTTCAAGGTCCAAAAGACACTTTCAGTGCAAACTGTTCAAAGGGCTGTAAACGATTCCAGACAATCAATAAGGGTCTTATCAAGCGAAACGATCACTCATTTTAAAAAAATAACAAAGTTTAAGTTTTATAAGCTCAAATGCTCGCACGTTTGTCACTCTCCTGTTCGAACTCGTTCATCAAAATGAAAGAATCTTTTTCCGAGTCAATTCGAAAAACAATTCCAAATGATTCCATCGTCTGAAATCGTTTAAAGCCCTTTGAACAGTTCGCAGTTTGCACTGAAAGTGTCTTTTGGACCTTGAACCGTTTGGTTCCCACTGAAGTCCATTATATGGAGAAAATGCTGGAATGTTTTCATCAAAAACCTTAATTTCTTTTCGACTGAAGAAAGAAAGACATGGACATCTTGGATGACATGGGGGTGAGTAAATTATCAGCAAAAGTTTTTTCAATAGTGAACTAATCCTTTAACCTTAGTTTACATGTCAATTACTTAATATTCTATTGCAGGGATGGCACTTTTTTATTTTATAAAAGTCACTTGAAGACGTACTAGATTGTGAATAAGCATTTTAGCCAATACTAGGGGGGTTAAAATCTCTGCTTTCTTCCCCACAGGCCTCAGTAACATTATTGGCATGATCGTGTACATATCAGCCAATGCGGGGGATCCCTCAAAGAGCGACTCCAAAAAGAACAGCTACTCGTACGGCTGGAGTTTCTACTTTGGTGCTCTGTCCTTTATCATGGCTGAAATGGTGGGCGTGCTGGCCGTGCACATGTTCATCGACCGGCACCGGGAGCTGCGGGCGGGGGCGCGGGCTGCAGATTACCTGCAGGGCTCGGCTATCACGCGCATCCCCAGCTACCGGTACCGCTACCGGCGCCGCTCCCGCTCCTCGTCCCGCTCCACGGACCCCTCGCACTCCCGCGACACCTCGCCGGTGGGCTTGAAGGGTTTCGGGGCTCTGCCCTCCACCGAGATCTCCATGTACACACTCACCCGTGGGGGCGACACCCTAAAGGGTGGCCACGGCACCCCCACTGCCACCTACAATTCGGAGAGGGACCACAACTTCCTGCAGGTCCACAACTGCATCCAGAAGGACCTGAAAGACTCATCCCACACTAACACAGCCAACCGACGCACCACCCCTGTATGAGGCACAACCTCCCCCCGTATAGATAGCAGGGCGAGGGAGACGGGAGCAGGGCAGAGGGGGGCGGAGGCCCAGAATATTAGGCTACAGATCAAACTTCATGTACCATGCGTTTTCACGATTCGGAGGAACCAGGAGGATTTTTACGTTTCGATCAAAGATTACACATGAATGCATGATTTTGCCATTTGCCATTGACAAAATGAGGCTGGTTTGAAATGGAGAGAGGCGATAAGAGATATGCAGAAGGGTTGTGCCGTGACACGGGAGCTGTAGCTTGTGGCATTGATTTGACATGTTTTTGTTAAGAAAACATTTCACCACCCGTCGTCGGTCTACATGGATCAGCAAGCTACTGCTCCCTCATAAGTCTTCTTCCCCTCTCCACTATATTCATCATATTTATTTATATTTTTAATTTGTTATTTGCATTTAAAAAAAAACTGTGAACCACAGCAGTAGGGTATTCAGTAAGAAATAGCCTGGTCTGCAATCTCTTATATATATATATATATATATATATATATATATACACACATATATATACATACATATATGTATGTAGGCTATTCATTTTATAAATAAATTAACATAATAATCAAGACTTTCAGAAGCAAAAAAGTCAAATCTGTTTGCTGGGTAATGATCTGTTGGAAAAGAGACTCTATGTCCCTAAGCTGCGACTGTGGCTGGACGATGGACGAAATCACAGAGAATCTTCAATGCAAAGCTGCTGTAATACGAGACTGACAAAGACATTCAACCTTAGACAAAATTCTATTCTTTTAAAAGAACCTTCTCATCTTTTTCTCAGTCCCTTTTTGCTTCCTTTTTTTCTCTACTATCGCATTCGGTCGTCATGGGAGCGAACGACAGAAAACCCAACGCAACGCCCTTCTCTGACAAGAGCAACAAAAAAGGGGTCGGAGTTCACTGAAAGACTCCAGAAACGACTGCCAAGACGGAAAAAAGGAAGGAGGAGGGGGGAGGAAAAGAAGAGGATGCTGAACTCTAAATAAATACTTGCAAGAACGCAAGCGACAAATAAAGTACGAAATACTACGAGAAACGAAGCTAAGTGACTCACGAATACAAAGATTAAATGCATGCTATAAATTTACAGCAAACCTGCTCTTGAAACTTAAGTTTTAAAGGATAATGATAATTATAAAGGGAAAAGCAATGTTAAAAATGTTAAATATTAATGTTTTGTGTACTCTTTCTGTTTTGCTTTTTATTATTAATTATAATTATTCATTATAATAACATACCTTTGGCAATAAGCCAAACAAACAAATTACGACAAAACTGCTTTTTTAATGCTCAGTTGTTTCTTTGTATCCACATGTATTTCTTTTACTCATTCTTTTTCTCAGAAACACACGCCTTAGTCATTTCGTATTTCTTTGGTTTCATTTTAAACGTGTCGTTTTATTTGAAATGAAATCTAAAGGTGCCAAAACAGAATGATCCTAAACTTGGATGCATCAAGTCCTGATGAATAAACAGACAAACCCAAGGGGGAACAAATTCGCTCTTTCTCTGTGTTTGCGAACCCTCACGCACCTGACGACGAAGTCTCAAGCACTATTCAAACCAGCGGGAAAGCAGGCCTTGTTGTGAGTGAGCATGAGGCTTTCCAAATGAGTCAGACGTGAGTAAGTAACAGTAGGGAAGTGAAGTAACAGGCCACGTAATTACTCATCTGTTCCAGGCTCATCCAGGCCTATAAGTGGGAAACGGTCTCTTAAATATGTAATGCAGGCTTATCTGCTGCGCTAATAATGAGTGTGAATGATTCAGTATGTTTTGCTTTGATGGAGCCAACCCGGAAAAATGGAGGGGGAAAAAAACAGGTGAGAAGATGTGCCATGTTCCAGAAAAACAACACAGGTTTGTAATATAACGTGACCTACTCAAGCGTTCTCCAACCAGCATGCTAAAAGCATCACTTCACAAGACTTGCGTGTAACAGGTCCGGATTCATGCGTAGGACAGAATCGCTTCAGAAAACAGCAAAGGGCTCGAGTTTTACTTAGAGAATTAGTTCATATAAGCATGAATTCATGCTCAATAAGAGGATATGTCAATCTAGACAACAAGCTTCCCTCGGAGGAATGAATATACATATTGGATTCATGCCTTCTTAATATATGCCAAAATCTGACTCGTCGTCTATAAGCGACAGCCATTTTGTGAATCTTCCCTCGACCGAGGAGGCAGAGAGAGTGTGAAATTACAACCACACACAAGCAGTGTTTTATGCATTTTCTTCACTTCTCTGAATTAAAATGCTTCCCTCATTCTCCCACTCTGTGTATTCCCTCATCCATCTCCCTCCATCTTGTTGGGCCAACATGCTTGTCCTTAATTTGCTTCCCCTGCACAATCCCTAATTTTTCCCTCCCTCGGTGAATCATCTACTTGCATACTACACCCCCTCCCCCATCTATCGCTCCTTCTCTTTTCTTTTCCTCTAGCACTCTTTTCCATCTATCCTCCTCTCCGTTACACATTCATCACACGCTCTGTCCTTTTACTCCTTCATCACATTCCGACGTCTCTCGCATCAACTTTCGCATTCTTCTCATCCGGCAAATCAAATTCTACCCCCCACCTTCCTCTCTCCTCATTACAATATTGTGGAAAAAGGAAAAAAAAATCAACAGATTTAAACAGACCAATCAATCATCAGGTAATAGCCTCTTCGTTCGGGAGATCAAGATTACCGGCTGATGAATGAACACGCTCACTCTTTAGTTTCCTCTAAATGAGCCGCTGTCTCTCTGACTGTGCCATGGCAGTACAAACTGAAGCAGCATGTTAGATTTTTCTGTGCTTTACTCATTTGTATTTATCTTGCAAATTAGGTTGATCTTGCAAAATTATCTGTTACAGGTTTTCTGAATTGCTAAAACACATTTCTTGAAAACCTTAAACACAAAACCAAATTTTCAAACCACATTCAAAGAACCTCTGACTCAAAATCCAACAATTGCCTTAAAACCATTTTATCTGCGCTCAAAATCAAACAATGCTTTCAGATCATACACACAGTGAGCCAAAATTATAATCTGCACATCATTCGTTAGACACTACATGAAAAAATGGAGAACACAGAATCCAAAGCATGCCGTTACAGAAAAAAAGTATATTGTAATAAAGTAAACTAGTTTTCCAATTACATAAAAAAGTGTAACGACAACATACAGTAGTAAGGGGAATAAATGGTAAACTGTGCACTGCAAGTGTAGTATTGTAATGGATATATGAAGTTCCTAAACATAAGTTAGGGAGGAGCAAGCCCATCCAATCCTTCAATCAACAACCAGAGTATAGCAGCCGCTTACCTCTTGCTAGTATCAGCCGTTCCAGTATCCCTCCACCTCCCCAAACTCCACCTTCATCTTAGGTACCTTGCCCTTTAATTAACAGGTCCTACATTAAGCCACTGGGGGGTATATCAGAGCTCGAGTTGAGTCTCCAGTGGACAGCAAGCCAAATAAGTTTAACCTAATATCCTAAAAATTTTATGGGCAAACGAACTCGTTAATGTATTGTAGGCCCATCGAATGTCTGGATATTCAGCTCTTGCACTGTAAAAATACAGTGACCCAATTGCAAAAGCCAAAAAGGTTGCAGTAAAAATCTCTAAATGAAAACCATGTTTTGTCACTCAGAAGAGTTGTGCAACTGCAGAATCAAGGTCAGCGAGAGAGATTTTATTCTGCTTCAGCATCATGTCTTCATGTTGGGTCCGGACTGAGGATTTTGTCCAGATCACAGTCAATGTCATTTCTACAGGCAAAGGGAAAAACCATAAAGCAGATCCAGCCTTGAAAACATTCTCCACATCTGCTCTTCCTCGTCCTCTTTCTCCTTGTTCACCACCTCTTACACACACACACACTGCTCCTTCTCTCCCTCTTATATTGTTACCATACATTATTGGTATCAACATTATTGCAATATTTATAATACAAGCAACATTTTGATTCAATTTTGGGACTCTGAAGTGACTTGTATTATGTGCAGTTGGTTTGATCACATCATTAGAAATAAGTGTGAACAATTTTGAGTCGTTGCGTGTAAACGATGGCAATTTAGTTGTAGGCCTAGTTGTGATTGAAGCTGGAGTCCGTTGCTTCTTTTGGGTTAAAAAATGATCTAAAATACTTATTTGAGAAAATACATAAACAGCCAGTGTTCAAAACTATCTGCTTGCTTTAGCTCGATTCAAAGCTGTAAGCTTAATAATGTTTTTAATTCCAGTGGTACTGGTGGATTTCCGCGGGTGATTCGAGCTTGTCTTTGAGTCATTACGTCACATCTGTACACATAAAGAACGAAAGAGTCTCTGCTTGTAGCTATATTGTGAGTGAGGATGTTGGAGATTTATAGCCTTCTATCACAGCACTTGATATAATTAAACTTATCAATTTGATGGCAGATCCAAAAAAGTTCGAACAACAATCAGCAATGACAATTGGAGATTCTGTTGCAAGACTTCGTTCGGACTTGTGTCTACAGAAAAAAAAAAGACTGCAACCCCATGCGAAACAAGGATGGGCTACATATCAGAAAGACAATAGCAGTTACATGTAGTCACGCAAAGCTGACGTTAACAACAATTTGAGAACAAATTTTTGCCTGATGGGATAATCGATCTAAAAATCTATTTAATCAGCGCGATTTACTGCAATGTCAGAACCAGAACAAAATGTTACTTACTTGTTCAGGTGACATTTTCCAGTGAAAATTATAATGTTGGACTAATATATATACTATATATATATATATATATATACTATTAATTTCTTTAGTAAAACTTTTTTGTATAAAGAATACTGCAACTAATCTTAATGATTTTTATTCCCTTTGGGATTGTAGTTTGCAGTAATGTCAGTGTGTGTGTGTGTGTGTGGACATTGGTGTCGTGGCTGAAGGCATCAAGCGAGACCTACATTTGCCTGTCCAATGATCCCCTTCTGTGGCCGGGAGGCACAAACTGCCATCTCTGAATTAGAGTATTAAGGAGAGATATTACACATCTAAAGTGTGTGTCTAACTTCCATTCTTTAAAATGTCTTCTTTTACAATCCACAGAAGGAAGAAAATTATACAAGTTTGGAACGACATGAGGTTGAATAAATCATGCCAGAATTTCCATTTTTGGAAATGGGATTCCATTTAAAAACATTAAATGAAATTTGTAAATGATTTGTCTCTGTCCACGTATAGAAAAAGAATGATGCATGAAAAATCATGTCAGAGTTTGTTGAGTTCATGAAATATAAGATAAGAAAGATAAAATGCATTATTCACTGCAATTTATATGTTTCTTTTCTCTGCATAAATGTTAATATTAAGCAGCAATGTCATGCAGCCCAGTTGGCCAGTTATGCAGACCTCCGGCGACCTGGTAACCTCCAGCAACAAAATCATTATCAGTCTAAATGATTTTTGTATTCTCTTTGCATGGAATCTCTCTTTGAATCCGTCTCTCTCTTTCTCTTACACGAGTGTCAATATCTGCATCATGCTGTGAGACATGATGTTAGGTATTAGCCTCTTGCTGTGTACCTGTCAGTGTCTGTCTGCCCATCTCCAGCCTTCTCTATTCTACCTTTCCTTTCCACTCTCTCCATTCTCATTCCCCGTCACTGTCGCTCTATGTCTATCCACACATATCTGTTTTCCTCCCTCCCTGTCCTTCTCCCTCTCTCTCTCTCTCTCTCTCTCTCTCTCTCTCCTGTTGTGGTGATCAAACGTGCCTTGTGTGTCTCTCTGCAGTGCTGTGTGATCAGAGTGGAGAGTGAACACAAGAGAGAGAGAGAGACTGTGTGTGTGGTTGGTTTCTCCGAGACCCGAGGAACATGCTGTCCCCTTCTGGCTGGGAATACTAAAGGCACAATCCCACAGCTGCTGCCTTTGTGTCCCTAGCCCCTGACCACACTTATATAACCCCAGACTACAAAGCCAACTGTCCAGCAAGCCTAAAATTCAGCGTGTCTCTGTCATCCATTCAAACAGTCAGGATTGAGATGCACCACAGAGCTGAGCTGTGTCTGTTGGGGGGTCTCGAGTTTGTGATGCTCATAAAGCAGCTGGCATCTGATTCTGAGCTCAGCTGAGTTCACCCAGATCAGGAAGAGTTTAGGAGACTCGAAGATTATTGAAATGTTAAATTGTAAAAACATGGAAAAAGAGTGGCATGCTGCCTTGATTTGAAATGTAAACTTCAAATGCATGCTGAGATGCACAGTGCGAAGTCGCCAACTTTCTGCTGAGTCAATAGCTACAGACCTCCATACTTCGTGTGGCCTTCAGATTAGCTCAAGAACAGTCCGTATAGAGCTTTGTTGAATGGGTTTCCTTTGCCGAGCAGCTGCATCCAAGCCTTCTATTACCAAGTGCAATGCAAAGCATCGGATGCAGTGGTGTAAAGCACGTCGTCAGTGGGCTCTAGAGCAGTGGAGACATGTTCTCAGTGGAGACATGTTCAACCTAGACGAGTCTGGGTTGGTGGT